TATTTTACATCAACAGAGAGGGTTATGTTATCACCACAGTGTAAAACTTGTACAGCTGTGTCACCATCAACAGTTAGGGTGGTATTATTAGCCCAGGTGTAAAACCTGCACATCTATTTTACATCAACAGAGAGGATGATGTTATCACCACAGTGTTAAACTTGTACAGCTGTGTCACCATCAACAGTTAGGGTGGTATTATTAGCCCAGGTGTAAAACCTGCACATCTATTTTACATCAACAGAGAGGATGATGTTATCATCACAGTGTAAAACTTGTACAGCTGTGTCACCATCAACAGTTAGGGTGGTATTATTAGCCCAGGTGTAAAACCTGCACATTTATTTTACATCAACAGAGAGGATGATGTTATCACCACAGTGTAAAACTTGTACAGCTGTGTCACCATCAACAGTTAGGGTGGTATTATTAGCCCAGGTGTAAAACCTGCAAATCTATTTTACATCAACAGAGAGGATGATGTTATCACCACAGTGTAAAACTTGTACAGCTGTGTTACCATCAACAGAGAGGATGATGTTATCACCACAGTGTAAAACTTGTACAGCTGTGTTACCATCAACAGAGAGGATGATGTTATCACCACAGTGTAAAACGTGTACAGCTGTGTTACCATCAACAGAGAGGATGATGTTATCACCACAGTGTAAAACGTGTACAGCTGTGTTACCATCAACAGAGAGGATGATGTTATCAGTTATCACCACAGTGTAAAACTTGTACAGCTGTGTTACCATCAACAGCTGGATTTTTTGGGCTTTTTTTTTTTTTTACTGCGATTTGTCCAAAGTTTGACTTTATTGGATGAGACCAAGTTTTATTCAATGTTTATCTATTTTTGCTACAGTTTCAATATTTAAATGGATCACGAGGAAGTGCACTGTGTACTTGTTGAAAGAAGAACATATTTTAAAGGTATCACATGGGAGCCAAACACTGCAAGACAGGGTAACCAAAGACATTAAACACGGGGGTATCAAACACATTGAACACAGGGGAATCAAACACATTAAACACAGGGGAACCAAATACATTGAACGCAGGGGACCAAATATGTTTTACTCAAGGGAACCAAATACATTTTACATAAGGGAACCAAAAATATTGAATGCAGGGGAACAAAATTGAAAAGGGGAACCAAATTGAAAAAAAAATGGAACCAAATTCATTTTACACAAGGAACCAAATACATTTCACACAGGGAAACAAATACATTTTACACAGAGGAATCAAATACATTTTACACAGGGGAATCAAATACATTTCACACATAGGAACCTAGTACATTCAATACGGGGGCACCATCCTTTTTACTGGCAACAGATATACCAACCCCCCACTCCCACCACCCAACCAACGTAGTGAAACTTCCGCTAAGATTAATATTACTCTTAAAGTACACCCCCCCCCCCCCCCCCCCCCCCCCCCGCCGACCACCATCAAAGTAGATAGAGAAGGATCAAATATAATATTTAAGAACTTGAAAACCCAACCAGTTTCATATCGCCCTAATTTTTTTTTTTTAAACTGGGTCACCCATGTCTTCACAAGAAGGTCATAGGCCCGTCTTGTAATGCAACTGAAATTATGTAAGCGGCTGCGTTGTGAGGTGTACATCTCCGATCTCTATAATGCCTTCAAAAAATTTCCCTTGTAGCTGATCACTCACATGAACGTGTTAATAAGTGAGTGTAGGGCAATGAAAAAGTTGGCAAGTTTGGGGGAGGGGGAAAATTTGGGGTGGGGTGGGGGTGTTAAGCAATAAGTTAAAACTTTAATACACTTTAAAAATATCTCATTTAATACCTTCATAATCATGTTCACTGAAGCCCACACACACACAAAATTCCCCACATAGAGGCTGCCTCGTGTACATACGTCACTGCAGTTTAACCTTAATGGACTCTTTGATTCATTCGCGTGCTATAGGACATTACACAGCACAACATTCATCAATCTACAGCAAGGGGGTTGGCTTTAAATTTAAACTAAAAATATTTTATTTCTTTCAATGCATCCCCACCAATCTACATTTTGACGGCTGGGTCCTAGACCCAGCAGTCGAACATTCGCGCGCAGCATGAACAATGACACCAGACCCACGGGGGTCAGTCGGATTTGACAATGTTCGTGGCCTTATGCTTGACCCCATACGATCGTGTGGTCAAAATTGTGTCAGATAAACTATCATCGATAAACTTAAAGTGCACTCAGTCAACAAGGTTCACCAGTGGGAATATTTCAACAACTAAATAAAGCATTTGCATATGTGAGTTAGTCAGCACAAGGTTGGCTTCAACATAAGCATATATCATATATAACATTATATAGGCCTAAACTATGATGTATTGGCATTTTAATCATTAATGTACCTACATGTATATACACTATATATTATAATCATATATGATACATAGGCATTTACTATTAATACTATGATGGATTTTCATTTTAATTAATCATCCGAGTGGAGATATATACTATATCATATATGATATATGATGTATAGGTCTATACTATGATGTATGGGCATTTTAATTAATCATTAATGTACCTACAGTGAGTGGAGATATAGACTATAATTATGACTATATATCCTATATAAGGAACATATACCATTTTTATTTGTTAAAAGTGAATGTTCAGATTGGTTTCTTAGCTATTTTTCTTTTTTTATTCCAAAAAAACAAACAAAACAAAACAAAAAACAAACAAATAAATAAATAAATAAAAATCAGACCAAGTACTTAAGAAAAGAATGTAGGTCGACATTTACTTGGGTGTCACCCCAGACCCTTGTCAATAAAGAAAGAACGACGTGTTCCTCCACTCACACCCATTCAACATGTAACACAAAACAATTTTGATTAAACACAAACCTGTTTTCGTTAGTAGCAGCCAGATGGAAAAAGTAATAACGTAAATAAATATAATCCTAAATCGTGGTGTAAGAAACAGTCCCACATTACTTCAGTGAATCTTCTTTCAATAACACAATTTCGTCATCACCAGGTATCTAGGCCTGAATCGTGTAGTAGTAGAAAAAAATGTTTTGAAAAAAAATTGTCACTTTACAACACATTTCGTCTGCTGCTCGGCATGACCTTTTTTTCTTTCGGGGGGCTCCGACTTTTTGATTGGTTGTCCTGCGTTGCATTCCAACGTTTCAGTTATGGAAACACACTTGTCCACATATTATAATTGCAAAGACTGTACTAAGAGTTTCGTTGAATTTCAGCGGTGACTAAATAAGAAACATTAATAATCATCCAATTAATTTAACCCCCCCCACAAAAAAAAAAATCATATCAATATAAATAAAATATTTTTTGTTGTTTTTTTTTTGTTGTACTGATGAAGAAAGTTGTTGAAACGTCTGCATCTTATTTCTGTGTGCAATCATTCTTAAAAGCTTAACCCGTTATTTTAGTAAAAAAAAAATTTTTGGTCTTATTTATCTTTATTCTTTCATTTGTAATTCATCAAATACAAGTGTTAACCATAGGGGCCGTTTATGACGTATGTACGTCACGCTATTTTTTAAAAATATGTTTTTTTACCCACATTCTATCTGTAAAAAAAAATCTCAGGTTCCACCCCCCCCCCCTCAATAGATCACCATACTTTTGAAAAAATTAAAATTAAAAAGTGTTTTTTAAAGTTAACAAGTACCGTAATTAAAATTCAATCTTAAATACAAAATGTAAAAAGTTCACTACTAGACTCTAAATCATGGGCGCCCGCAGGTAGTGGCAAGGTGGGGCACTTGC